GTCAGGAGCTTCAAAAGATGTGTCACAAGATCCCCCTTTCCGTTTATTTTTTTCCCAGATAGCGCCCAGTCGCCATTTCAAAAGTTTCATCTGTCAATTTCACTTGTTCACCCGTTCAAAAAATAAAAGGGTGGAGGACATTATAGAAATGCACTGTATAAACAACATGGGCGGTGGAGTGGATCAGTTTTACTACAATTTTACTGGATAAATGGAATTAATTAATCACCCTTTGTAAGTCTGATTATTCTTACTCGATTCCCGATTTTTAGAGACTAGGTTATTACAACAAATTTTAAAAACCAATTTTTAATAATTTTTCATATTTTTTTTGGGCGTCTCAAGAACTGTACTCTGTCCATCTAAGAAACATAGTATTCCAAAACATTATCATGCTTAGTGCACGTGATATCTCAGACAAGGCTGCTTGTACAGAGTCGCACTAAAGTATTTTTTTTCCAGCCATATCAGTACTTGCCATTTTAAAAATTTTAAACTTTAAAATACCATATATATGTACACACAACAAGCGTTAAAACGTTACTGACCAATCCGACACTGTAACAATGAATTCCGCCAGCCGATTGCAGTTAAATCTGATTGGCCAGCGTAAGGAGGCTTGTTCATTTTACCCATTAGATACAAATGGGCATGGTGATCATGCTTGACCATGCATCTATTTTTGTTTGGGTTACTTTATTTGTTGGATGGATACCGTTTAGGCCCTCTGATAATGAATCATCGAGCCACTGTGTCTAGACGACCTGACCCTAGGACAAACCTTCCTTTCGGGACTTTCTACCTTCCTCATCAATAAACAGAGAGCGGAAGACTGTTGCTATTTGAGTATATTATTGTAAGCACAAAAGACCTTACTTTCCTTTATTGCCTTCGGGCATTGTACTGTCAGTGGTTCATGGGCAATCATATCTTTCAAGGAATACCGACTCCAATGTTAATATATTTATGAATTATATAGGCCCTTTCTTCATAAGACGAGCGCAAGCGTAGCCGTCATATTGAAATGGCGGTAATTCAAAACATTCTACTGTTTTAATCAACAATGGCTGGGCGAGGAATATTATCTCTACAAACAAATAAATTATTGGAAAAAACCATTGATGGTGCTTCACTTGTTTATAATTCAGTTGAGGCTCATAATTGTGAACAATTAAAAAGGTGGTTAAAACGTCATGGGCGTCCGCAAAAAGGAAAAAAGTGAGCTGATTGAGAGGTTAGGTATCAGCATT